ACTCAGTACGCGGAATGCTCTTCCAGTGGCCGGGCTTAGAAACTGCTTGCTCGGAGTACAAAATCATTACGCGGAACGCTCTTCCGCTTTCAGGGCCTGCTCTTTTGGAGTACAAACTTAGTACTCCGAACGTTCTTCCAGTGCCCGGGCCTTGAAACCGCTCTTTTGGAGTACAAACTCAGTATGGCCTCTTTAAGATGCACGATGGACCGGAATCTCGCATGCAGCGGGCGTTTTTAAGAGATATGAAGAACCCCGCTGGTCTGGCGTGTCTAAAAGTATGATAGCCGGAATCGCCAAATGAGGGGCGCGTTCTAAATACATAAATGAATAAAAGCAGTATATATATATATATGATACACCGGAAACGCTCAATGGAGGGGTTTTAATATATCTGATAAACCGGAATCGCCCAATTGGAAGGTGTTTAAGATATATGTTGACCCCCACTGGTATTGCGTGTTGAAAGTCGGGTGTGGTGAAAGTATATGATAGCCGGAATCGCTAGATGAGGGGGGTGTTTAAATATATATATATATATATATATATATATATATGATAAACCGAAATCGCTCAATGGGCGGGGGTGTTTAAGATATATGATAACCGGTTTAAGTATATATGATAATCCGGAACCGCTCAATTGGGGGGGGGGGGTGTTTCATATATATATATATGTATACCAGTAGATACGTCCGGATACTTTTTTCTATTCGTGGGATTCGGTTTACTTTTTTTTCGGGTCGAAAAAAAAGTAAACGCGGAAGATCTTTTATTTAGTCTGTCTGAACACACTGAACGAGGGCCTCTTAACCTTCCCAAAACAACCACTCAACCATCCGAAAACAACCACTGAAAACACGTGTTTCGTGTACAAAGGTTCTATATAGGGTTTCGGGTTTAGGGTTCAGGGTTTCAACCACCGTAAAAAAGGTTTTAAGGGTTTAATTCGGGTTTATAGGGTTCAGGGCTACAACCATCCTAAAACAACCAGTGAAAACACCTCTCTCTTGTACAAGGTTTACAGGGTTTCGGGTTAGGGTTCAGGGTTTCGACCAACCGAAACCGAACACAAGTCCATAATCGTCGTCTAGTTATTCCGGGTTAGCGGGTTTCGGGTTCAGGGTTTGAACCATCCGAAAACAACCGCTGAACAAAAGTCCTCATAATGGTCATACAGTTGTTCCGGGTTGAGGGTTTCGGGTTTACGGTTCGATCAGGGTTTGGGGTTCAGGGTTTACGCTTCGGGGTGTATAGGGTTTTATAAGGCTTCGGCGTAGGTTTCGGGTTGAGGTTATCAGACGTTGATTTGAGAGCTTCAGGTTCATATAGAATTACAGGGACCTGGGAGTCTTATTGAGGTTTCGAGCGCCCTTGGCTTCAGCATCCCTGGTTGCTTGGGTGTTTCAAGTGTTACAGGGTTGTTTGGGTCCTATAATGTTGCAAGGTTTGGGATCCTCCCTACAGCGATTTGGCCAGAAGTTGGGATTGAGAATCTTGGGTTGTTTGGGTCTTTGGGGATTTCGGCTACATAATCGTCCTACGAAACTTCGAACGGCCTATTTGAGCTCGCTCAGGGTTCAGGGATTTAAGATTGGGGGCTCGGAATCTGGCAGGGATCGTGGACTGTTTCGAGGAGACCGCAAGACTTGAGCGATCTTTGACTACCAACAAAAGCCATATAAAAGTTATTATAATTGTTATCAACCCTATACACAGGGAGCTGAGGAGGTTCGGCCTGGTTTCGGGCTGCAGAGTCATTGACATCCCTTGGAACCCTATATAAGACCCTAAAAAGATATATATATATATATATAATATGAAAACCTTACAAGACCCTAAGAACCCTAAAACCCTAAGAACCCCAAAACCTTACGAACCTTACAGCCCTAAGAACCCCGAAAGGAACCTACCAGTGGTGGGTTCGAGGGCGTTTCAGGCTTCGGGTTTGCTCTGGGCCCTCGGCCCCTTCGAATTTTTTGGCGGCCAAGCGGAACTCCGGCGTCAAGTGCTCTGCTGCGTCCGCCAGATAGCGTTGCAGAACACGGAGAGCGGCATGCTGGGGTCCAACTCTTCTGCTCGCTCTGCCCTGTATGCCAACAAAAGTTTCATCTTGTTGCACTGAATAGCCAAGAAAGGATAGTGTCCAGGAGCATCTTGAAGCATTTTCTTGCAAGTGCAAAAACAAGTGGTGCAAAATATGCAATTTGGGTGTTACAGGGAACCTGTCCCTGTCCGCCGCCAACGTCATCGCCACAAGGTGCCCGTAAGATTTCAAGAAATTAAGTCCGCAGCGGGCCACCGTGTGTGCCGTGCTCTGATCCAGCCAGAGACCGCCCCGATACAACATACGCACGGCGAGGTTGATGTTCGAGGCAGCCACCCACGTCCAGCGCAGGATCGGATCAGCATTTGCAAGGCCTGCGTTCACACTGCAAAAGTGTTCAAGGAACTCCAAGAGCAGCGTGGTGTCGCTGGCCTTCTGCCATCCAGCGTTTGGCACTTTCTGCAAACTGTCGATGCCCATTGTCACAGCAGAGATGCATTTGCAATACAACTTATCGTTGCGACTGCGGAGCCATGCCTGTGCAGCATCATCTATGAAGCAGAAGCGCTCGCCAATGTTGGCACCTTCGGATATTTTGACCGACCCTACTATGTTTGAACCCGGCCGGCACAAAACCAGCCTAACCTAATTAAATACTTATTACCAGTACGACCAAAGAGGGAACCAACAAAATTATAACAGTTATATAAACCTTAGAAAGCCCTATGAGCACCCAAGACAAAGAAAAATGTTAATGAGCCAGCGAAGCCCCAGAGTTGAAAGGGCTACATGGGTTTAGGGTTCACAGCTTCAATTGAGCTAGGGGGTTAGGGTTCTAGGTCCTCTATAGGGTTGCAAACAAATGCAAGAAAAAATGTGTATAGGCATTGAAGATCCGAGCGGCCGGGCACCACACGGAGCCATTCAGCAACAGCACTGGCAACCAGATTCTTGCCTGCGCCCAGGTGCAAGCAGTGCCAGAAATCAGGTTGGAAGAAGGACACCCTGTTCGCAACGTTGACATGAAGTCGGCGAATCAGCGACGGCGTCTGCTCCCACGGCTCCAGTGTGCCGCAAGTCGGTCTCCAAGTCGGCGAATCCACGAAGTCTTCCCAGGTAGGGCAGCCATGCGTGCCTGCAAGGCACAGGTGGCAAATCCCATTAAGTGTTTTCTGGCCAGATCGCTTGGACACGTGAGTGTAGCATCGATTGAGGTGTCCCACTTTGGCAAAGAATTGCCAATCTCCGACAGCCGCTATCACGACAAGGTGCCACCTCTCGCCGTTCACCTTGATGCCCTCCGTCTGCAGCTTCGCCAAGTCGATAGCCAAGGCGTCGAACATTTTGTCCAGGTGCTGGGCGTCCTCGCCGTAGTCTTTTTTCTGCATGACGAAGTGCAAAAAGCGAGTCTTCTGAACGGCGCCTTCAAGATTCACACCACCAGCTTGCTTTTTCGAGAGAGGAGCCTCGGCGAACCAGTTCTTGTAAGCCTTGCATCCATAGCCGATCATTGCATGTGTGTTGGCGACCATCATCGGTAGGTGTTTCTTGCTCCGAGCCTCGTCGCCGTGAAGTAGCAGTGGGATTGTTCGCTCTGGCACGCAGAGTCCGGAGTCGAAGCAATCATTGATTGTATTCCCAGGTTCCAGAACGGCAAACCTTGCCCAGAACCTTGGATGGGAGCGAAAAAAAACCAACCTTACAAGCCCTACGTGCTGACTTATACCCATATATGCACATTAAAGGGTTGGTAGGGTTTACTAAGGGGGCTCAGAGAAATTACTCAATTAACTTTATATTTATTTATGGAATTGCAAATCTTTATCAGATTGGGACACTGATCGCAGCGTATAACCTCATATTTGTTTATGGAGATCCGATCGAGAGAAAGCCTTTGCCTCCTGCACACATCGTGCAAGCTGGGTTTAGAGGGTTGTAGTATTATCGACATGCATCCTCAAGAGCCCTAAAAACCTTAAAACCCTAAGGACCCTAAGTGACCCTAAGAATCCTAGAAGAACCCTATAAAACCCTAAGAACCCTTAAGAACCCTAATGCCGTACGAACCATATAAGCCATAAATAAGGACCCTATATCAGTATATAACCCTAAAACCCTAAGAACCGCAAACCTACGGACCCTAAAGCCCTAAGAGCCCTAAAACCCTAAGAACCGCAAACCTACGGACCCTAAAGCCCTAAGAACCCTAAAACCCTAAGAACCGCAAACCTACGGACCCTAAAGCCCTAAGAACCTTAAAACCCTAAGAACCACAAACCTACGGACCCTAAAGCCCTAAGAACCCTAAAACCCTAAGAACCGTAAACCTACGGACCTTAAAGCCCTAAGAACCCAAAAATCCTAAGAACCCCAACGCCTCAAGAACCCGAAATCCACAAAACCCTAAGAACCCTAAGACCCTTCAAAACTTAAAACTATATAAGAACCTGTATTATATACATACAAGAACCCTTATAAGAACCTAGAGAAAAGGAAGTTACCATTGCACTCCAGAAATAGGCCGAGGGAGCTGTGTCAAGACGCTCGTATCCTGCTCTGCATACAGCAAGTCAAGTTTGCCCAAATCAGCTAGATGTTGGAATAAATCAGTCGGCTTGATCCACGGCATATTCTTCTTCGCATCACCAACGTCCACGTAGGATATGGGGATGTCGAGGGCCAGCCCATAGTGCTTGAACCTCAAATTGAAGGGTTTGGATCTAAGTAGATATAGTGTCTGGACCTCACTCCTGAATGGTTTGGGTTTACGTACATAGCGCTTGAACCTCGCTTCTGAAGGGTATTGGGTTTACGAATACCATATAGTGATTGAACCTCACTTCTGAGGGTATAGGCTTTCGGTCTATATAAATTACTGAGCGAGCCAACAAGATGGCCGTGATGACACCATCTACTGCTGCTTGCAACTTAGCTGCACTTCGTGGCTCTTGTCCTCCAATCTGTTCTCTGATGTCTTCGCCAGACTATCCAGTACTGCATCTTGGCCACGCTCTCTAGAGCAGCTTGCACGAGCGAAGGCAGAGACGGTCTTGCCAGTGGCCTAAGCTCGGCCAGCAGAGTACAATTAAGTTGTATTAAGACATGCGTTGGGCATTCGAGGCAAACGATCGGTTTTGCGGCACAGTGAGCACTCTCCCCACTCACATGGGCTTTGGACCCCTGATCATCGAATTATTGAACGACCTTCACAGACACATAGACAAAGTAAGGACCATCAAAGTGATCCGGACCCTCGCCTCCGAGGCTTTCGTTCAAGCAGCCTTGTCGGCCCCTGTACAATCTGATGAGATGAGCTTCAATGCATTTGCAAATCAGGCTCGATGCTGATATGTGTAACAAATGCATGTGGTGGTATCCGTCTTTAAGGTACCCCTGCACTCTCTCATAAGGATCATGGGTGAAACCGATTTTGTAAGCCGCCACGGAAGTACCAGTGAGAACCTGAGTTGTCCAGTGTGTAAAGTCCATGTACCCTAGAACGATAAGCACCATCAGCAAATTGCATAAGGCAAGAGGCGACATCCATCATCTGCTCTGCAGCCCGAAAGACTGCGCCCGGCGACTTGGGCAAGGATGTATCAGGAAGTGCAATCTTGAAGATCTGCTTGTTCGCTAAGAGTTGATGCCACAGTTCACATAGCCGGGGTAGGGCACGGATCTCGGCATCAAAGTACTTGTGATACTTCCAATGCACAGCAGGTACAGCCTGTTGGCCTTTGATTGGAGTCAACTGCATCAACAACAATTAACATGCATTGGATGCAAGGATGCAAAAACGATAGACCATGATCAGCCATGTTGCTGCTAGCAAACTTCAGGAGGTCGCCGGAGTTCGGGGGTCCCAGAGACCTGTCAAGTCAAATGAATTCAGGGTTTATGCACCAATGTCCACTTCCGACAGACAACACCTAGCTGAATAGGTTCTGTCAAGGAGCTTGTACTTCGGAAAAAGTAAGAGCTCCTCCAGCCATTCATCCATGGCAGGCCCTATAAATTTGCGCCACGGGATAGAAACGGTATGGTGAAATATTTCTAATCCCTTCGATCGATCGTTGCTATATATAGAATTAAGGACACGAGAGTGCGCATGCCAAGCTCGAAACCGACAGCCCAAAGCGCTGCAGCATCCGATTGACAGAGCTCGCGTGCAAGAATATATGTGCATACCGACTGCCCTATCACATCCTTAGGCTGCAGATGATCTGGGTTTCTGGCTCCTCTGACGAGCTGCCTCGCAGCTTCCTGGCCCATCCTCCCAAATTGACCTGGCAAAAGGGCTCTTAATGGGATCGATAATTTAGAAGATTCCGGATGGTATTTCATTAGATAGCAAGGCTTTCTAGGTAACGGGGTGTGGGTACGAAGATCTCGGGCTCAAGTTCAGGGTACGTAACTACAATACAGCCTGCCCACAGGGCCCGGGGTTTCACACTAGGTTGCGAGGATTGTGATTAGATTTATTTGGACCGAGCATATACGACTGCCAAGTTCAAGAAATCTTAGGTCGTGTTCTAAGGGTTTGTTATGATGATGGTTCGGGTGAATAGGAACCACATAAACCTATATATATATATATAGATAGATAGATAACTAGATTGTGGGCACCGAAGAAACAGGAACAAAATAATACAGTGGTGGACCTCATATGAGGATCGAGGGGCTTATATAGATGCAGTTATTAGGGTGCTGTCGAAATATCTAGAAGCCTCTATGAATTTCATATTCGTTTACAGCACTTCAAGGGTATGTGTACAGATCGATCGGGGTTTAAGGTCCTATAAACACACACACACACACACACACACACACACACACACACACACACGAACACCAACCTCCTAAACCCGATCGACTACATATATGATAATTAAGGCCTTTAGACCCCACAAACATAAGCCCTGCATAAACCCTTTCTAATCCACATGTAGTCCGCATGCATCAGCATATAGGGCACAAATTTTGGCGCTGCCGTCGTGAGTCTCCCGAGGGTTCTGTCATCCGATCACCTACCGGACTCCAGCCGTTCCCTCACAGGTGATTGGCCCGATTATCAAAACCGCTGTACTAGCAGGAACACCGTCCTCATGCACCATGATGGCACCATGCAGTCTGTTTGCTATCTAGCCAACCGAAGTAAGTGGTACTCACAAACATTCAGATGTGTTCCGCTGGCGAAAACAGATCTAGGCCCTAGGCTTTAGCTGCTTTAGCTTTGCCCTTCGCCTTCGCCTTGGGTTTTTTCTTAGGGTTCGCGGTCCCCGGTCCAGGCCCCGACCCAGGAACAGGCCCAGCAGGAACAGGGCCAGGCTTGGTATTCGGCTCATTAGTGGCCTTCGGGCCACTCTTTTTGGCCTCTGCCAAGGAAGGGGCCACCTTGCTCTCCAAGCTGACGCACTGGCATGCCCTTGGATGGTGACGAAGGCTCGGGGATCAAGACAGAGCCCAACCGGAAGTAACCCATTAATTGAAGCCAGAGTCAAAACAGAAGCCGCATCGAGGGCAATCATGATCTCATCCTTCAGCCTCAGAAGCAGCAGGTGCCATGAGAAAGTCATCATTATACTGTATACAGCTTGCTTCAGATTGCTACCGGGGAGCTTTTCCGAAAGACGGATGTTGGCGGTGGCCTTGAGCATTGACATCTTATCGTAGTGCTGCTCCATAGCATCCGCGTGCTTCAGCATAGAATCAGCATGCCTTCAATTAAAGGGTATCTCATGGCATCCGACATACTGGGTACGTAGAATTAACATGATCGAGTATATACGGTCCGACTACGATCCCCGCCTTTTCTGAACATCACTCATGTCACAGTTCTGCAATAAGTTGACATTGTCACGAAGCTTGTTGGTCTTGCTCAACATCTCCGACCATGCCCTTTCCAGGGCCGCTCTTGGATCCTTATATGGAGCCACAGAAGAATCTATGTATATGTGGTTGTATCCATGCATGTAGATATACATTTCTAGATAAAACATGTCTTAATTAATTGGCCAGATGACATCTCCTTCATTGGCACCAGCGGCGGCGCTACCCGGATTTGTTTGGTTGCCACCGTTCTCGAAGCTCAGGCTGGGGTTCGGGGTGTCCTTGGCTTCCTGTTCTTCTTCATGGACGGACTTCTCATTGTCTTTGTGCACAAGCTGACCCGACCAACTGGTTTCCACCCAGTGTTGGATAATCGTCTCATCGTACTTCCATTTCCTAGTTTGGAAAATTCAGGAGTTAGGATTTGGTCGGGGTTCAGGAATATACATACATGGGGTTATAAAGTTACTTTGAGGTTATGGTGTTATATATATATATATAATGTATAGGGTTTTTTTTGGCATCATGGAGTCAGGGGTTGTAGGGTACAGGGTTTACATAGGGAATCAGGGTTAGGGTTTTGCGGTTTTGGGACTAGTGGCTCCAAGGTGGTGAATCGAAGCGGGACACGAGGCGTCTAGAGTGGTGGAAGGAGACTAGGGATTAATTTGTGCATATATGCATAGAGGGTTCACGGAGTTTTGGGGATTGGGTCGAAGCAAAGATCAGAACTTTTCGGAAAAGAACTACATATGTAGAAGGGAGGTGCGAGGTTTGCGCCTGCGGGTTGCAGCCTTTATATATGTATCTATCCATTTTTATCAATTAAATTCTATAGATGTATATATTTGTATACATATATATATGTATATAGTTTAGGATCGGTCGAGGGATTGGCTCGAATTAAGTATATTTAATTACTTAATAGGGTAAATTGAACACACCATGCTCTGTAGATTTCTGAAAAGTGGCCGCTGCAGCACGCTCAAATTCTTGGCAGTGTAGTCCACGATCTTCTTGATTGTCTTCCTCAGATGGCACATTCTACATCCTACATTAGGGAAGCAATTCAATATAGGGCTACATAGGTCATCAAAGGCACGCATCATACCCCAGTTTGTCCTTCATCTCCTGCTCGGTGTACCAGCCTGCATCGACCGTGAGGCTTTTCTCTTTCTCCTTGGTCACATACTTCTTCATCTTGATGGCGAACTGCTTCTGGCAGGGGTCGAGATTATAAACATCTCAGAGAATACAATGTACATTTCACACATGTTAAAGGCATGAGACAACTCTAGTTCACCTGTCCTCGTTGAACTTCGCTTCCACCAGCAGCTTCGCGAGCTGCTTCCTGTTCTCCACGTCTTGATAGGCTTCGAAGGCAGCCTCTCCACCGGGGACTTTCCCGTTTTTTCGCCTCTTGCACGCCCGTCGTAGCCGCTGCTTCAGGGCGTCGAGACTGATAACCTTACATGGGCTAGTTTCAGAGATTGTGAATTAAAGCACAAATAGTCTGCGCTCGGGATCCATATGCTGATCTGGCACTTTCCCGGTTTTCGGGCATAAGGTTGTACCCAATCCCCAATCTCCCTTGTCGGGGTCGTTATCATCATCATCATCGTCGCCCTCGTCGGAGCTCTTCTCAGGTTCCTCAATCTCCTTCTCCTTCGCTGCGGCAATCGACGATGCCTTCGATGCTGGATCTGCTGCCTTGGCAGCCTGCAACATGTTCATCTTCCGGTTCAACTCCTGCTGCTTCTGCAACAGCAGTTGCTGCTCTTGCTGAAGCTGTGCTAGTGCTTCATCATCCTTGGTTGTCGGATGTGATACTCACACAGGATGCTGAAAATGCAGCATGCACATGTATATACCCGGACATCCAAGGCACAGCAACGTCGTGGCTGCTTCCCGGCTCTCGCTTCACACTGGGTTTCGGGGTTTTCTTCGTTGGTCTTGGGAAAGACTTGTCCGTTCTCACAGAAGCCGGGCTTGAAGTCCTAGCCATAGCCACCATAGACGAGGGAGTAGCGGGGGCCGAGGGAGCCGGCGTACTGGGCATTTGCAAGGTCTCGGCGAAGAGCGGGTCCAGGGACTTCGGTTCCTTGCTTGTGATGGATAGGATAAGAGTGCATTATTGGGTTATCGGCCTATGTAGGGTTTAGTAGGCACAATAGAATGTAAAGTATCCTCCGAAATCAGGAAGGACTCACATCCTTTAACTACATTGCGAAGCGACCTCTGCGGCACAGTACATCCGTCTTCAAAGCAAGTTAAGACCCCGCCCTAAATTAGTATAATGAACCCATGATACCAAACCTCCTTGTCTTCTGCCATTTCAGAAGGCTTCAATCCTAAGACGGTCATCCAAGGCTTAGGGCGTTTCTTGGGGTTTATACCTGGCTCTCTCTCTCTCTCTCTCTCTCTCTCTCCCTGTCTCTCTCTCTCTCTCTCTCTCTCTCTCTCTCTATATATATATAGCTCCCTCACTACTCTTCTCTCCTATCCTCTCCTCTCCTCTCCTCTCCTCTCCTCTCCTCTCCTCTCCTCTCCTCTCCTCTCCTCTCCTCTCCTCTCCTCTCCTCTCCTCTCTCTCTCTCTCTCTCTCTCTCTCTCTCTCTCTCTCTCTCTCTCTCTCTTATACTCTTGGGTGTCCATGGGTTCAGACGGATTGGAGCCTACAGTTTGCAGGATCGAGTTAAGTACATGCAATTCAGGTATGATGCTCTATGGGGCTACATAATTTCATTTGGCAAAGTGGCAGAATCCGTCAGCTTGGGCTTCTTGGCCGCCGGGGGAGCGCTCTCATCGATGTAGCATCGTAGCTCCTACCAAATAAACGAACCGAGCCACCAGGACGAACGACCATATGCATGTACCTGACAACCCAGCCTTGATTCTTTTCTCGAGGTCCGACTCGGTGGGACCGGCCATTTGCTGCGCTCCTTTTTCGAGGTCTGAGCAAGACCACACCTTCGAGCCTAGAAACATCTGACATCAGCCTCGTGAGTCTGTTTTCTGCGTGCATTGTTGACACACAACACCGACTCTTCGCATCTATAGTGCACAAAGCATCGGTATTTTTCCACACCCACAAGCCGGCTCAGACTCAGTCATAGGCCTCCTTAGCTGGCGGCTTAGGGTTCAGGGTGTATATAGGGTTTACAAGGGTCAGAACGTTAACATTATAATGGTGCACGAGTATAATAATGCTGCCCCGAGTCTTCGAACTGGCGAGTAATAACGAAGTACTGCTTCTGATCTGGAAACCTGAGATCGTGCAAACACAGACCTGATCAAGGTTAATTAAGGGCTGTTCCAAGTTGCATATAAGCCGCACTACTGGCACATGTGTGAACGACTGCGTGTACTTAATTGTATTTCGATCGAGCATATGTACGTTAAGTTCGCTCATCCCCCAAGCCATGTAACACCTTAATCCCCTGACAGCCAATTAAGTAAGATTTGTCCACAGGACGAGCCGCTCCGGGTGCTTTCTGCTTTGCGACTGCTGGATGATTTTCTGGATCTTGGACCTGGGCCACGGCCAAATGGTTTATAGGGTTTAGATAGAAGTCGTCGGGTTTAGTATATATATATACATATGTATATAGGGTTTTAAGGGCTTCGACCAGGGGCATATGCGGGGCTGATATATATATATATATATATATATATATTTATTTATTTATATATTTATTTATCAGCTATATATATATATGTATATACATATATATATATATATATATAGAGAGAGAGAGAGCTAGATAGATAGATATAGATAGGTAGATTATATACATAAAGGTATAGATACAGATATATATATATATATATATATAGATAGATAGATAGACGTATATGGGGTTGTATTATACAGGGTTTTCCAAGTCCACTACTAGACCACGAGCTTCAGCAAACCCTGGTGATCCCAATCAATGCTCCGAACCCCATTAAAGAGTATATGTCTGTACTATATAATATGTGCCAAGCCCAGTTAACCCCAGACGAATTATGAAGACCTTCACACCCCTGGGTCCTGCACAGGCCACGAAACATATGTGTATATATATATATATATATATATATATATATTGCATATGTCCCATGCAGAAGCCATGTATATCCATATCTATATATATATATATATATATATATACCTAGTCATTTAATTAATTATGCATATAAACTTTGTACTGTCTGTAGGGTTTCAGGAAGGGTAAGAGGGTTTCTGGGTTATATAATTATATAATTATATACGGGTTAAATTGAATTATTGTTGATTGGTGGTTGTTGGTTCAGGGTCTCAGGGTGTGTGGTTGTGGTTTCAGTTTGGAGGATTACGGGGCTTAGAGTAGGATCGGTACCTTCAGACCGAGGGCTTTTGATAGCCGGGACACCGAGAGATCCTGCTTAAAGCCCGTCGTCGGATCCCGACAGCCTTCTCTCTCAACCTCTTTCTTTCTCTCTATTATATATATATATATATATATATATATATTCATATACTACATACCTCTATATCCATATAACCCTATAAACCCTCTATATATATGTGGTATGATTCATATACGAAAGCACCACCCAAAGCTTGGAGCTCTCGAACAATCTAGTTCAGAAGGGCTTTAGCTTCGATCACGATAATATTGGCAGCTAAGGCACTTGTCCTCGCCCGTCGACGAGAATCTGTTCTCTATCTCGCGGATGCAGAGCCACGAACCCTCCACCTGCATTGGCGGCAATTAAGCTTGGGGATTATAAAGCTTCATTGGGCTGGCCTTCTCAACGACTGCATTTCGACCATTGTCATCCGCCGTCGCCATATGTGTCCTGCGTAGGACTATCTACTATATATCGGTGTCGAGGTACATTCGGGCAAATCAAGCTTCGAGGTGCAGTCCTGTTAAGGGGTCGAGATCGAGGATCGGAGCAGGCAAAAGCGGCTGCGCACAAAAAGTAAGCGACACGCTGAAAAAGTAAGCGAGTACGGGTAGATGTCGACATCTGAGTTCGGCTTTTTTTCAACATAATGTTGACAAAGTTCGGGTTGAGTACGGGTACGGTTTCCAGTACGGTTTAAATGTCGACATATGTTGAAAAAAATGTCGACATTCGGCCTCAGTACGGGCTAGTACGCTTTTATGGTCCCGAAAAAAAAGTATACGTTCTCAATTCTCTGTAATCTACGTACTACGGGCCTTGTCGCGATCAGTTTGGGATTTGAAGATTGACAATCAGGGGCCTGGCTGAGCTGATCCTATAGTTTGTGGGCACTCTATGCCTAGCCACCAGGAGGTCTCGAGCCTTTAATCCACAGCCTGAACCATCCTGATACAGCCTGAGCGAGCCCTGCATATAATCCTTGCAGCCCTCCATCAGGACCTCTTGGAACCCTGCAATCAGGTTTCACATTGGAGAGGTCTATAGGGTTTCTGGGAATTAACGTAGAAACCCTGCGTTCAGGTTTTGGAAAGGTCGATAGGGTTTCTTGGGAATTCGGGGAGTTGCTAGGCAACATCCACAGGCAATGAGGGGTTTAGGGTCGAGGGGGGTTCAAGGGTTCAGGGCTCGGGCTAATCCCAGCTACAGAGCCTGATCTATATACACAATTGTGATTGTAGTGCCAAAGCTCAACTAAGCCTCGCAAGCTCCCCCACCAAGTTTCGAAGTCCTCTCAAAACCTGGATAGCCACAAACCTGAACCCTATATATATATATGTACATATGGGAGTTTCCGAAAGTCACGGATACCTTATGTTGTGGGGCCCTTAGAATATATGTATATATATATATGTATATATATATGTATATATATATATATATGTATATATATATGAGGATCCTACTATCCATGCATGGTACTATATTAGGGTCCCCTATTTTCGGAAACTCCCATATGTACATATATATATATACCATGCAGTTATAATTGACCCTGTTAAGGACTAAGGAAGCCAAAGCAACAGAAACAGCAGCGACAAAACCAGTGGCAATGGCAGCAGCAGAAGCAAACCCCCTGCGTCCTCCTACATAGGTAAGTAGGTAGTGTCGTTAGGTATGGCAAGTAGCAAGGCAGGTAGGTCAGGCACGTAGTGGCGAGGACGGTTATAGGTCGACAGGCCGGTGAGCTAGGTAGATAGAGGGGGTGGGGTAGGTTATGTATACATATATATATATATACATATATATATACTTATTTAATTCTTTTTTTCTAAACACCCGGTCTGGTAGGTTAGCCCGATCGACAGCCCAACAGGCCCTTCTGCCCTAAACCCTCGACACCTAAACCGGTAATACCCCTAAACGACTAAACCCCTATAAAGCCCTACAAAGTTGACTGATCTCAGCCGAGCAGATCTGTCAATTTTGCTGACAAAGGAAGATGGGTCATCGGGCTCTGCGCTGTGCTGCTACTGCCACTGGAATGCAAATGACAGCTGTGCATCCTATCTTCTGCTTTCGACTCGAGGACTCAGATACTCAAAATTTGCATTTCCCGATGGCTGCTACTTAGACGGGTAGCCAGGTAGGGAGCAAAGGCCTCCATTCGGGCGGTATGTTCAGTGATCGGTTGCCTCTCAAGTATGCTACAACTTCGGTCATCCTTGCATCTGGCCACACATCATCGAAGTCGAGGTTGCGCCACATGGTGCGGATGTCCGGGATCTGGGACACGGCAGCACTGTGGGGTGTGAGCGAGAATTATAAGGGTATATAGTATATAATTAAGATGCGGGTCAAGGATTCTATGTGTACATACAGGGCAGTTACCATTTCGGTCTCATAAAGCCCCTAGAAACAACCACGACATAAGCCCGTTGTTATCCAGAAAGGCCCAGACTAGTCTAGAACCAATCCCGGAAATGCAAGGTTGAAATTAAGATTTTAATTCTATAGTCAGATATCGAGAGGGATCTCGAGGGATCAGAGGAACAGACACATGCACAGAAACAGCTGTGCTCCTGTATACAGAGCCACGGTTTAGGGTTTAGGGTTTATAGGGTTTAGGGTTTATATAATTAAGATAAATCGAATATTTGCATATATAGGGCTTCTGTATGTAGGCGGGGGAGGGAGAGAGAGAGAGAGAGAGAGAGAGAGACAGAGAGAGAGAGAGAGAGAGAGAGACAGAGAAGGAGAGAAGGAGAGAGAGAACGAGAGTGTGAGAGAGTGAGAGCGAGAGGGAGAGAGAGAGAGAGAGAGAGATAGCAGGAGGGAGAGGGAGAGGGAGAGTGGGAGATCCGTAATAGATGGCAACCCAGGAACTCGGGAACATGGGCTTCTGGTCCTACACGGCTTCCGGGTGCTTGCTGTCTGTTCTGGTATATAATTCTGAGCACCAACTACTTGGTCGTATAGGGTGGCTATATGTGCGTCTTCGTTTTTGTCGTGAACTTGCAGTCAAGAAGCAGGGTTGCTTGATTTCGGGATTTGCTAAGTCTCTAGTTGCTGCCCCCGAAAATTGCGAGCCTTGTGCCCATTGAGCCCCACGAAACAATAATTTCTCCCAAACCCTTCCTCTGTAAAAGCCTCTAGAAACCCTACATACACTCCCACTCAGAATCTCCTAACCCGAAATCCCATAACTACCTTCCTGCACTTCTGACAAGATACCGAATAGCACCCTAGCTTATTATCCCCATGCCAGACCCAGAATATGTTTCTTTCGATCACCTGATCGAAAGCATCACTGCCACTCTTCTGAGGGAAGGTGGCCGCACCAGCAGACCAGGAAGACCCTTCGGTCATTATTGTAAATTACAACTGGGTTTGACGAGGGTTCGGGCTTTACAGGGTTAAGATCTCGATCCGGCAGTACGTGCGTAGAAGCCCTTTCATGATGAACTCAGCCAAAGCCTGCCTGCGAAGCCTGAACCCACCCCGATAAGCACCCATACACATGTAGGCTGCTGAACCCGATCGAAATCTCAGTTTCCTGCTACCACATATGACTTAAGTGTGCTTGTTCGGAAGTGACCGTCGGATTGGTATGGTTTCGTTGAAAATATGTATCATGTACTTAATATATGTGTTATCGACCAATATCTATCTTCCCTTGTATTCATCTATCTATATAGACGATTAGGTATGCCTATGGACCTATCTACCTAGTTATGTATCTATCTCTCTTTCTTGTGTGTACATATATATATATATGGTACTACATACATACATGCATGCTTGATATGTATATATACACATGAATACATATACAACTGTTCATGTATATGTGTCGTCTATCTATATGTAGAATTATAAAAATCATCCATCCACCCATCACAACACAAGCGTGTGAACAAATGTTTATAGTGCTACACACAGACATCCATGCACCCTTCCACCCACCCATCCCTCCATAGTATCTGGGCATGCTGGCTCGTACCTAGCTGGTACAGGTAGGCATACGTAGGAAGGTAAGCAACTAGGTGGCTGGATGGCCACGTGACTAATTCATGTACATATATATTTTCTATGTAGAGAGATTGTGATGCGGACACATGTAGGAACGTCGACCCTGAAAGTAGCCCACATATTTATCGTATCTAAAGTGGTACATGTGTATATATGTACATATATATATATATGTATATATAGATACATACAAATATAGATGTTATACATATATATATATATGTATATGTATATGTATATGTATATATATATATGTGTGTGTGAGTATACTTGCATATATGAATATTTACATATATATATACACATATGCCAAGACTGTATAAGTACATAGATATAACCTCGCATCTGTGTGTGTGTACGTCTGTAGGATTTTTCTGTGTATATATATATATGCACATAGTACATGCACACAGGTAGACTCATGCAAACCTATGCACCAACCCTAACTGGCCCTTACTTACCCTAGCATGACTACAATTACCTATATATAAGTTACCTATCGATCAAAGGCTATTGGGCTGCCGGAGCCAGCCTTCTCGGCAGCATCGCGCTCCAACGGCGTCTTCGACTGGTGGATCTCTTCGAGAAGAGCAGCAACTCGAGCCCCAAATTCTGGAGGATAATTCCTGAGCCCGGGGTCCGGTATTATATGTTTCCAGAAAAACATCAAGATCGAGTCTTGAAGCATGTTGCCCATCATTGCATGATGTACATAAGGAATCTGAGAAGTCTACTCGGTTTTCTTCAAGTGCTTGGTCCCCACGTACTTCTTCTTGGAGTTCTTGATATAGTGTTTGACCGTCTGATTTGAATGTGCCTTCTTCCAACCCCTCAGTCTCCCCCTGTTCAGGCGATGAATAATGTCGCTGTTGGACCATGCAAAGTGTCGCTTCGGTGATTTCGCCCCGTAGTGCAGCATGTACCACACCACTTTGTGAATCTTCACAGCGGCACACAGAGATCTGAATCTTGGGTAGTACTGGAAAAAGGATTGTGCTGGCTGCTCTAAAATAAAGCAACCGTCAAGGGCCAAGATGAGTTGGATGAGTATGCACGTCCTTGGGGTAGGCTTCAGAGGGCTAAGCAGACTGGTATATGCATTACACGGACACATGTTCTATGTGCAAAGGCTGTCCTTGCTGCCAGGCAGTTGCCTTCCACCACCGATCTTTTGGAGGTATCACCCATAGGAACCAAGAAACTTCTTTTGCTCCAGCCCATATTGATAACCGTGAAGCTCGAGCACACCAAACCCAACCATACGACGGCCTTGCCCTGCACAGCGGACATGACCCCAACAATGGCGAGCCTAAGTGCGAGCAAAGGTTTGTCTTGTATGTTCTTGCTCACAATCTGAGGCTTGGTGAAGCTGCCGTGACGAGCAATCTGAGATCACTGCGCCATGCCTGCAGGTGTGAGGAGGTCCATATAGTTCTGGTGCTTGTACTCAATCGGGTATCGAAGATCAAACTTGCGAGACGTGTAGCCACATGCACTGACATGTCTCGTGATTTGGGCATCCCCGGCGAAGAATTCCAGCCATTCAACAGACTCGGATCGGGATGGTTCGTTCGATCAGCATGGAAACACATGTCGATCTGCAACCGTGCATGACACAAACCTAATCATGTATGCACCACGTGGCATCACAGGATCGGTAAAGTGACCAAGAGGCGTCGGCACGAATAGTCACATTCTCCGACCAGTACAGCAGCAGTACTGCAAAGATCAGAACCTGCCAATGTCCCAACAAAGAAACCCGATCCTATTGCGACCCATCTCAGGTATATACGGATGGACTCAACCGCACCTTGGGCGCTTTGAGCTTGCAGAGGCGGTGCAAGAAAAGGCTCAAAGAGGCATCGTGCCACATTGCGAGCGACGGCTACCTAAGCCTGCGTCGTCGTCGATCTAAATCAGCTACATGATAGACATGACTTAGTTGGAGTCTTGTCTCTACAAAACGACAGTGGTCACAAGTGTCATGTCACACAAAAAGAAGGATATGTATACACATATATATATGTATATACACATGCATGTATATGTGTGCGAAAGCATCTGTATGAACATTTAGACAATGCATGGTAACTGTATATATATATATATATATATAGGGAGTGAATGGTAAATATATATATATATATATATATATATATATATACATATATGGGTATATAGTCGAGGTATAGCAAGTTTGTAGTGGCAACAGCAGAAGCAGCTGTGGCAGGTCCAGCGGGACTGTTATAGTACAATGAAAGTATTGCAGGTATCGTACTTAAGTGGTCTATATATCAATATATGTATATATATATATATATATATGCATCGCATATAGTGTAGTCGTCGTCACAGTATGCATATATAGTGTATATATATATATAATAGAGACTGAGACTACTATTCATATATGCCAGTGATATATACATATATATATAGGAAATAAAATGGTAGATAGCAGAAACGTACATTGAATGGTAGTGCGATCACAACCTACCAGTATATAGATTGAGCAACAGCAGCAGCAGCAGTAGCAGGGCCAGGGGCAAGATTAGCACAAAGCGTACTTGTGCATGTATACATATACATATATATATACACATAGTCATGCAGTAGTATAGTCTCTAAAAGTCATCGTCAGTATGCAGTTAACTGTAGATTTCTGTGACTAGATAGTGTATGGTATGCATATTTGTGTATATGTGTACATACATACTATCTACATGCACATGTCTGTCGTTGATCACGGCTTCACACTCTGTGACTCACGAGCATCAGATGTCACAGCTGGCAACCAAGTTCAGCACGAGCGTCTGTGAAGCCCATGGGAGCCCAATAAGCTCCCCACACTATTCGATCGCCTGTGAAGCCCACGGGCGCCCAATAAGCTCCCGAAAATCTGAAACATCCTGAACCCTGGAAACCACCTGTATCTTAATTGAACTACATAATCCTCCAGCACCCTGAAAGGCCTATACAGTACATTCCTAAACCCCGCGATCGCTACTCAATCAACAGAAGCCCTAGATGCCTGTTGTATATAATGTATTAGAAGGGTACCGAGTACGTAATTATTTACTTAAATTGTTTATAGAGGATCCCCACTCCCGGCACCCCACACCCCGGCGTGGACCCGAAAAAAAAACTATGTAAGAATCTACCAACTGAATCCCTCGACCCCAAAACCACGGCACTCCTGACCCCGTGAAGCCAACGTTTTGCTATCCACATATAGAGTAACTGACGGCTATAGAACCCACACCTCTGCCTCTAAGGTACAGAAAGATCACTACATCCGGCTAACATGTATAGGCAAGATCCTTGTGAGCATACTGCTGCAGAGACTAGATGCAAAGCCATTAAGCATCACAGAAAGATGCCACCTGGAATGTTTCATTCTTATGTAGACCGGGTTAAAAGAGTATGTAGGGTATGTATATATAGTGTGTATATATATATATATATATATATATATAGATATGGGGTTTAATTGGGATTCCAAACTATTCTTCTATTGGGTTATCAAGGTTTACATAGTACGTACATTATACTAATCATCGACCAATCAGGATAACACGTGGAAGCTGCACGAGTGTCGGCATTGGCCCTGCCGGCAGAAACCTCCGCAACACGCCCACGTAGAGACTTTGGCACCGGCATCGAAAGTCGCAGACCTGCGATGCAGATACACTTAAATTGTGCTGGCAGTGGTTTGCATCACACACCAACTCCAAGCACACATTGCTCTGCACTCAATAGAACTGCAACGGTGTCAATGTTTTTTTCATCAGCGAGCGAAGGACGACCTTGAGTTGTCTTTCCCCAGCTAGTGCTCTAAGCCAGCAAGGCATCGAGACTGCAGACGTGTTCCGCCTGTCTCCCACCATGTACACTGCACATAGTCACCGGATCATGCCGAACATGTGTTATAATTCTATATGGACCCTGACGATATAGAATAAAAGCTTCAGCATTCGGTCGGGGTACAATAAAATCTTCAGCGCTCAGTCGGCTTTAGATCCGACACCATAATGACTCTAAGCACATGAAGCCCACACAGGCTTTGGCACCTCCACAATCCAACACCCTATGCTTGGCATCGCAACCAGCAAAAGCTCCCCTAGGAAATCGCTTTCTTCAGCTGTTGCTTGATTTTGTAGATAAACTGGTTGATGCCCTTGATGTCCTCGGGATCCTTGTCCATGTACTTGACCTCAATTGTACCAAGCATATAGAAGCACACCGCCGGATGTGGAATTGCATTATACATGCATGTACATGAGCAACTCAAAGGCAAAGGGAAGCTCAAGCATCACCAATTAGTTCAAGACACACACTCGATGGCAGCATGCAAAAGCTTCGAGGTGGTTGCACCCTTCGACCCGAAGTACTGTACCTGCATGCATATATATATAATGAAGAGAACAGATGGCTGAACATACCGGCCTATGTGTCCCACGTGCCTGCTTTCCGTCTGACATCTGCTTGATGCCCACACCAGGTCGGGTCCAGTAGACCATAAGGACAAAGTGGTTCAGAATGCCATTTGTCGCAACCACGAGCTTCCTCAACTCAATCTTCTCCTGCATGCAGCGATTTTCTGACACTAGCCATAAATACTCGATCTACGAAAGACCTGCAGCCACGGCAGTCACAAACCGAACTCACATGCACATCAGTGTTCTCATGATTGACACAGATATAAACACAAAGAAGATCTGCTCTGAAATCAATTCCCTAGGCCTCTTCAAGCTGAAGACCCGGTTGCTTTGGCTTCTTTTCCTTTGCATTGTCATCCCGGCCCTCCGGCTTTCTCTTCTTGGGGTCCTCATCCTTGCGCTCCGGGGTTGTCTTTTTAGACACTCTCCTCTCCGGCGCTGCCTCGGAAGCTTCAGCACCCTTGCCCTTTCCTTTGCCTTTCTTCGTTTTCTTTGCTTTTGCTTTGCCACTTCCTGCCCCTCTGCCTTTACCCCTTCCTTTGTTTCCCGTGCCCCTTCCTCTCCCCTTTCCTCTCCCCTTTCCTCTGCCCGATCCTTTCTTTGAGCCCTTGCCCGCCTTGGGTTCCTTCTCTGCCTCGTCTTCTCCCGTAGCCGCCTCAGGCACCGAAGCATCCCCAGACACGGCATCCCCATTTGTTTTGGGATCCTCCTGCACCCTAGGCTTCTTCGAACTGCTTTTGGCAGCTGTTCTGCGCTTCTTTGCCGGCTGCTCAACACTCTCAGCCTGGCCCTCCTCGGACTGCGGAGCCTGGCAAACCTTGGCAGCTGGGCCCTCATCGGTCTCCGGAGCCTGGCAAACCTCGGCATCGGCCAGCTCCTGTGCTTCCTTGTCCTCACCGGCAGGATTGAAACAAAGTTGCATGATTGCATGATATCCATGCATGCATATATACCAGTACAGTATATAATTAAACCAATTATAAAGTATACGTGTCCTTCTTTGCCTTGGCAGCTGCTTTCTTGGCAGCAGCTATTTCCTTGCGTTTTTTCCTAGCATCCAGCTGTTCTTCACGACGGATAGCCTGGGATATCGCTGCAACTGCAAAACTATAACAATACATGCAATCAAACAGTTCATACACAACATGTGTGACTCGATCATGTAGTTAGGCCTAGGGGCAGGCGGGTTTGGCAGGCTTTCAACCATTTCGGTAGATGAGTTCAGGCGTGCCAATCTGTCGGCCTCCATATCCAACACAGTCTGTGGTGGCACCTGTGTGTCATCCGTGTCCAACACAGGCTTGGAAGCTGGTGCAGGTCCTGGGCGGGGATACAAGCTAGAACACAAAATGCCCACATTAGTTTTGTGTGCATGCAGACACCCACATATTGCACATGGGCGCTTAAATTGAATTAATTGAGTATATACACCTGCAATGCCTGCACATGCACACTCCTATACAGACAAGTTGCCATCGGCAAGTGCTCCCGATCGAAGCTGCAACCTCAACGGGGGCCCAAAACAAAGCCAACAATCCAAATCCATATATTTCATTAAATGATCGACTCGCACCGCACGATTGTACCAGAAACAACCGAGACTGCGGCAACTGCACTTGCAACAAAGCCAGCTCACGCATAGCAGCTTTCTTGTCCATGGGTTCTGGCTCTGGGGCTTTCTCGTCCATGGGTTCTGGCTCTGGGGCTTCACCTAGCTGTGACTCCTCTGCATCTGCTTCGGTTGGGGTGATTTCGCCTTCTTCCTCCTCAGATTGGGGAGCTTCGGCTGCACGTGCCAATTGTTCCTTCCTGTAGGCCTCCAGCAAAGCCAGCTCCCGCATAGCAGTTTCCTTGTCCATGGGTTCTGGCTCGGAAAGGGTGGGCTTCAAAGCCTCGTCGTGAGGCTCTGCTTTCACCATTTTTCTGGGTGACTCAGCCACGTACAGCACTTCTTTGAACACCACACGTGAAGCATCTGGAAGACTTGGAGGGGACGGCGTAAGGGCCGATGAGGATGGCACATGCAACAGCTTCGGCTTGGGTGTTGCGGGGCTTTGACCAAGGATAAGGGTAGTGGCATCTGAAGCAACCGAGGTCGAACTGTTCATATGAAACACACCCTTCTTTTGCAAAGGAGGATCACTCCGAGGCTCAGGGGCCTCAGGTGGAGGGATAACAGCATCCAGCACAGGCTCAGGGATACGGCCAACATCCAGCACAGGCTCAGGGATACGGGCAACATCCAGCACCGGCTCAGGGATACGGGCAACATCCAGCACCGGCTCAGGCATAGGGTCAACATCCAGCGTTGGATCGTACTCTGCCTCCTCCTCCTCAGCATCTTCCATATCTTCCTCGTAGGCATCTTCAATGCCAGCCGCTTCATCAGCATCTGTGACATCCCACCGGGTCTTCTTGCCACCTTTACCATAAA